ATAGGCCTCAGTAAAAGAAAACAGTCCTGAAACTTGGAGAAAAGCAACGGCTCTGGCAGATTACCCTCTGGCACAGATAGTGAGCAGAATGTCCCAAACGCTTTGCCAGCTACAGAAGCAAACAAAAAAACCCTTTCATGATGTAAACAGGAGCAGTGCTAGCTCAGAAATGAGCCATTGTCTCAGAAGTGTTAAATCAGCCATTGCCTCAATAAGTGCTGCTTTTTGCTGTGAAAGACTGCGGTTTTAAAATGAGGTTGCAGGTTTGCACGGAAGCGGAACAGAAAGAAAGGAGCTGGGCTGGAATGGAAGGGGAGCGGAGCTTCCAGAGATGGTGGCCTGGCCGCAGGCTTGCTGGAAAGCCAAGCGGGATGGGTTCTGGAGGAAAGCAGATGAGGGAGAAAGAGGCGAGAGTGATGGCGAGAGATGGACCACTGGGGGGGAAAAGACAGCTCAGTAGCTCATTACAGAAATAGGGAGGCATATGTGTGTGTCTAAAGTGAGGAATTTATTCAGAAATGCATACTGGCATTTGTTTCATCTAGGAGGTGGCTTTTGGAAAGAAGTGGAGGAAAGTGGTAGCAAAAGGAATACAGATTTCTTTATCGAGCCAAGCCTAATGATCTACCAGTAAATGGAGAACGAAGTGGGTTGGCAGGAATGATCATTTCCAACAAGGGTAGAAGATCTGAGAATGCCGAAGAGCGTGCCTCACCTGGATGGGGGCTTTTTGTTCTTGTTCTGGAAAGGAGAGACTTTAAGTGGACACACATGGGAGTGAGAGTTAAAACAGCACAGGGGCACGTTTAGATGAGCAGGGCATCGTGCAGAAGAATGGTCCAAACGGAACGTGTTCCTAAACGTGGGAGAGTGTTTTTTCTGGCCGCCTCATTGTGCACGTCAAGCAAGCTGGTTGTGGCGGGACAAAACTTCGAAGCCTTAATAGTACCAGCATCTCTTCTGCAGCAAATTAGATTATCCAGACTGGGACTGTTTCCTTAAACTTGATACGAGCAGTGCCAAAAGCAGCAATTAATGCTCTGTGGAGAAAGGAGTGAGAAAATGGAGCCCAGAGAGATCTCTCTCGCCTGAAATAGATCATCCAGAGAATGTTTTACTGTGGCCAGATTGGTGTTGCATATAGAACGTTATCAACACATCTGATTAGGTTGCATTGAAAGAATACACAGTTAAGATTCATTAAAATCAATGCAATTCTTTCCCAGTCTGCATCTTTGAAAGATGCTCTGCTGATTTCTGTGGTGGAATTTTGGATTGAAAACCTGGCATGCTGGATGTTCCATAATTTCACTACCATCTCTTTTGTTCTTATTGTTGCCTTTATTTAAGTATGCAAAAAAAACCCCACCCCAAAATAAAATAAAAATAACAAGAGTTCAGTGGATGACAGCTGTAAGAACTCTTGCCGAACAATATTTTGTGCTTTTTTTACAGAGTTGTCATATTCCAAATTTCTGGGAAGGATTAATATATTCTCAGCTTGACTGTTCCTAAGCAGTTCAGATTCACTGACACTGTCATTCATGAAATTTGTTGGAAGGGGCAGAGATAAGGGCTCTTGATTGCTCAATGCTGTTCATAGTTTAAGGGAAAATGTCATACTGTATTTATGCAGAAGTGATTTTTAAAAAGCCATTCCTGCTTATAGCTTACGTTATATCAGAGATACTAAGGGGCGGCTCTCAAGCACACACCGCCCATCAGTCGATAAAATCACCGTACCAAATCTTTTGGTCCCGGTGTCGCTGCATCTCATGGAAAGAGCACCTCATGAAGGCAGGATGTCCATTCTCCAGCTCCAGTTTCCAGGGATCCTCCACTGTCTGAGGCACAGACTTTGCCAGGCACGGCCCACTAAGATTGTCCCAACCGGATCCGGCAGGCTCCACTTGCGACTTTCTGCATGCGAAGCGGATGTGTTAGGGCTGCCTCCTCTCCTACAGCCAGTCCTGTCGCTCCTGATGGTCTTGGATGAACCTTTTACCTGCCTGCAGCTCCCACAGAGGTGAGCTGCCGTGTCAGCCCTCTGCCGCTTGGCTGATCACCTGCTGAAACACTCTCCTGAGCTGCACTTCTGCTGGGAAGCTTTGGTGCCCAAACCCGCTGGGTATTTTCCCTCTTTCCTCCACACACGTTTCTCTCTCTCTCGTGGTTTTTTTAGCCTTTCAGGAAACCTAAAAAAAGGCCTGTGCCATTTTTAATGTATGTGCAGTGCTCCCAGTATTTTAGGTATTTTATAAATAATTCATATCATATACAGCCCTCCCAAATGCTGCCGCTTGTGAGCCCAAAGTTAAGTCAGAAAGCTTCCAAGAGTCTCCAGTTCTCAAGGGATTATTGGTGCCTCTGCTAGAAAAGTGAAATGGATTTCCTTCCCGAGAAGGCCAGGTGCTTTTCCCCATGTGGAGGAAGCGCAGGTTGCCTGGCTTTGTGAAGTTCCCGTGTTCGCAGCCAGACTGATTGTTCTCTGGCAGAGCGATCCCCTTCAGAAAGGTTGCCAGAGGCAGATGGCGATGTCTGGTGACACGCAGGCAGAAATTCCACAACGGGAAGGAGGACACCGTCTCTCAAGGAGAGAAGAGGAGCCCGTCCTGAGCGCTCTGTCCAGACGGCCGCAACCCTTGGCTGGCCTCGAGAGCCAAGAATCCTTACTGGTCAGTGGGGAGGTGAGGGTGTCTTTCTGGCTCCACAGAAGCAAAATAAGGCATCCTTCGGAGTCAGCTGCTTGAAGGAGGTTTATAATAGGACACACGAGTTACAGTAGCCCTTCCTCTCCAGTCTCCTACCATTTTGCTTTAACCCAGCTTCAGAAGCAGTAGTACTCTCTGCCTCCCGGTGTTTTCTGTGGCTTAAAAACTTCTTGTATTCATCTAATGGTTTACTTTGAGGCTTTTCCAGCTGCTTGCCAGGACGAATTTTTTTGCGATCAGATATGGCAACCAAAAGGGACTGCAGGTGGCGCAGTGGTTTAAACCGCTGTGCTGCTGGGCTGGTTGATCGAAAGGTCGCCGGTTCGAATCTGCACTATCTTCACCCCCCTTGAAGTCGAGGGGCTCCTCAGGGCATTGGACATTACAAAGGCACCAGGCCCTGATGGGTTACACCTGAGAGTACTTAGAGAGTTGGCAGGGGCACTCTCACGCTCGCTGGCCTCCATTTTTGAGACCTCGTGGAGAACAGGTCAAGTTCCAGAGGACTGGCATCAGTGCTCCCAATTTTCAAAAAGGGTAGTAGAAGGGACACGGGGAATTATAGACCGGTTAGCCTTACGTCCATTGTAGGAAAAACAATGGAAAGGCTCATAATAGAGAGAGATGTAGTGATGCTAGATAGGGAAGGGAGGCTGGCAGCCACACAACACGGCTTCCGCAACAACAGGCCCTGCCAGACAAACCTTGTGGAATTCTGTGACAAGGTTTTGAGATGGCTATGGAGGGGATGCAGTGGATGTGGCTTACCTGGATTTCAGCAAGACCTTTGACAAAGTGCCCCATTATATCCTGGTGGAGAAACTGAGGAGTTTCGGGATACACCAAAGCACTGTCCGGTGGATTAGGGCATGGTTGACTGACCGAAAGCAGAAGGTAACCATTAGTGGGGAATCATCGGGATGGCGGCCAGTGACAAGCGGGGTCCCCCAGGGCTCTGTCCTGGGGCCGATCCTGTTTAATTTTTTCATTAATGACATGGAAGAAGGGGTGAACAGTCTGCTGATCAGTGGCCACAACTGAGGAGCAGGTACTCCAGATCAAAGGATCTGGACAGACTATGGAAGTGGGCAGGGGACAACAGGATGGCGTTCAATGTGGATAAGTGCAAGGTCTTGCACTTGGGGCATGGGAATGCGTGTCATAAGTACAGGTTAGGTGACAAGTGGCTGGAGAGCAGCACTTGTGAAAGGGACCTCGGGGTGCTGGCTGACTGCAGGCTGAACATGAGCCAGCAGTGCGATGCGGTGGTCAAGAGGGCGAACGCCACCCTTGGTTGCATAGCCGGAAGCGTGGCTTCCAGATCGAGAGAGGTATTGCTACCACTCTACACGACTCTGGTGCACCCGCAACTGGAGTATTGTGTTCAGTTCTGGGCCCCTCATTACAGGAAGGATATAGCCAGGTTGGAGTCAGTGCAGCGTAGGGCCACAAGGTTTGCAGGGGATGCCGTATGAGGCGAGACTGAGGGAGCTGGGTCTCTTCAGCCTGGAGAAGAGGAGACTCAGAGGGGATCTGTTGGCAACATGCAGGTATGTGAGGGGGTGTCACATGGAGATGGGTAGAGACCTGTTCTCCCCTGCAGAGGAAGGCAGAATGCACTCCAACAAAGCGAAGCTCAGGGAACCAAGGTTCCATTTGGATGCCAGGAAGCACTTCCTGACAGTCGGGACCCCGAGGGTGTGGAATGGGCTTCCACGAGAGAGAGGTCGTTGAGGCCCCACCGGTGAGGGTGTTCAAGGATAGGCTGGACGTCCACATGGTGGGCATGTCATGAGTGGAGCTGGCTGGAGCCGGGGGTCAGACTAGATGGCCCGGGTGGCCCCTTCTGACTCGCTGTTTCTGTTTCTATGCACAACAGGGTGAGTTCCCGTTGCTCCGTCCCAGCTCCTGCCAACCTTGCAGTTTGAAAGCATGCAAATGCAAGTAGATAAAAAGGTGCCACTTCGGTGGGCAGGTAACAGCGTTTTGTGCACTTCAGTGTTTAGTCATGCCAGCCACACGACCACAGAGACTGTCTGCGGACAAATGCCGGCTCCCTCGGCCAGGAAACGGAGATGAGCACCGCCCCTGAGAGTCAGGCATGACTGGACATAACGTCAAGGGGAAACATTTACCTTTACCTTTTTATGGCAACCAAATTCATTGATTCTCTGTCCTGCCTGTGGGACTGCATATGGCCAGTCAAGGCATCTTGTTTGTTAAATTCATTTATATACCACCCAATAGCTGAGGCTCTCTGTTGCCGTGTTCTACTAACCATGTTCAGAATTTGAGTTTAATTTTAATTTAATAAAACATGTTTATCCCGTCTTCCACTAAACGTCTCCAGACGGCTTACAATTTTATAAAATGTTAGTGTATCCTCTGTGCAAGCATGTCTTGCAATCCAGCAAAGCATTCCTTCCTTTTTATCTGTGAGAGTACAGCTAATATTAGCATGGCCCTGTTCTGAAATCTCTTAACCACTCTATGCCCTTCCAACTTTACAGCGCATATGAAGACGTACTTATTTTCCCAGGCATTTGGACATGAGTCGCCACCCGTCATGGGCTGCTTTTGTAAGGTTCATCTTTTCACCTCCGCTCTGAATTTTGATAGTAAAAGTTCATGGGCCGAAGTTCAGTGGTAGAGACCCTGCCTTGCACGCAGAGGTTCCAGGTTCAGTCATTGGCACCCCCAGACTAGACGGGGAAATCTTCATCCAGTCGCACAAACATCGGGCAGGATAGACTCATGGTCTGCAATATAGCTCTTTCTGTTATCAAAAAGGGATTTTTGGGTGTATGAATCCTGGAATACCAGCCCTTTTGTTTGTAGAGATAACAGTTGTAAAGACAAGGACCAAAGTATTAAAGAAGTGAGCAAGTTAAGAAAAAAAAGCCACATTAAGTCCTTTTGAATCAACACCTTTCCCACCTGTCATTGGCACCTGCTGGCTGTAGGAAAAAAGCTCGTCTCTGTGCTACAGTGTACAGTCTGTTAGCAAGGGGGCAGCTCTTATTAAGAGATAATTAAAAGTCCACATTTTAATTTGTCAGCCACTAATTGATTTGATTCATTGCCCTGATTAATCGATGAAGGCTTTTAGCCTTAATATATAGGCGCTGCCATGACAGCCGAAATGCGGAGAATATTAAGGTGTGCTTGGAGAGAAGCTGCTCCTCATTTGGGCTTTCTAATTGCACATTACTTTGGAATGTCTAATTGCTTTTCTTTCGATGTGTGCTGCCACTTAGGAATTCATACCTACTTGTAAGATAGTTGCAGCTTTTAATAAAAAACGTCTAGCGAGAGTTGTGTAGTGGTTATAACAGCCAGATTCAGATATCCTGTTATTAAGCCAAGAAAGCATTCTGACTGTTTGCTCTTCCCTTTGCTTGGCTGCAATTAAAACAGAAAGTATCTCATTACTCATTACAAACATGCCCTGTTTTGTCCATACTGGGAAACATTGGTTGTCACTTAAGGACTTTGAAACAAGTTGGGATCTTAAACTACAGCATGAAATTGGTTTAAGATCTTGACTTGCTCCCAAACTCTAATAACCCTGGTTCCCCATTTTGGATGAAACTGGAAATTATCGTTAATTAGATATTTCTGCATTGCACTCTGATGCTATGTAATGGAAGGCGGAAACAGCTTGTTCATATCTCGGCCAAAGTTGCTAAGCAGTAATAAGCTGAAATAAGATTGTCTGGGGTGGCCTTAAAATACCCACCCAGATGCTGTTGCTGTCTCTCAGCTGACCTACCCCATAGGATTGTTGTGAGAATAAAATAGGTGAGCGGGAGAAAACCGTGTGTGCTTACCCTGAGTTTCTTGCGACAGGATAAAAATGTAATACACCAGTAAAATGGATTTCCCTTGGTATAAAGCCTGTAGACGGTATTTTTCTTTTGTTCTGTCTAGGTTTTATTTTTTTGTAAAAATACTCCTCTTGATCATTCCCTTTTGCTTGCAAATGGAGGTTTCTCCATTTTTGTTCTATTGAGGCTCCTGGTCAAGAGGTTGAGCTCTCCTGACGCCTTGTGCCCCCGCAGCGTTTCCAACTAAAAAGCTCTGAGAACACTTGGGAATGTCTGCTGCAGTGTGGATCGGAATCCGTGGCCGATAGTGCCCTGTTTTCACTTGAGTGCACGGACAGAGAAGAAACCAAGTGGTGCGTTTTGTGAATTCACAAGGTTGCCCACCAATCTTGCCTTCCCTCGTGAATGTATAGCTCTGAAGGAATACTCACAGAAGCCTCTATCAGAACAGGGCAGTGGGAGCCGCTATGCAGGGAGTGATCCAGGCCTGTCGTCACACGCCCTGGTTGCCAGAGGAAGTGGGCCTGCCTGTCCGTCGTTCCTGCAAGAAGCGAGCCATGTGTAATTAATCCTGTGTCTCCTCCATGCCTCTCTCAAAGTCAGTAAAACAAAACCAAGAAAGCATCCGTGTTTTATTTACAGCTGGGGTCACCAAGGTGTGGGTGTGTTTTTTTAAGTATTCCATGAGCGGCTCATATATTTTGATTCCTTGAAGAGAGGAACCGAGAGTATCTGTAGGGCTGGGCATGATCTTCAGGTCGGGTCTCACAACCGGGAGCTGCACAGTAGCCACTGCAAAGGCCCAAGCCGGTCGGCTGCATTTAAAACGGGGTGGGAGGGGGGGATGCGTGGCAACTCTCCAAGCCAAACTCGGGGGGAATGCTGCTTGGCACGGTACTTACGCAGCTTTCATCTCAGGAGTCCCTTCCGCAGAAAACACGTCTGCAGTTTCTGTCCGCAAGGTGGGCATGTGCAGCGAGAGGATTCGGTGTCCTTAAGCAGCCATTGTGTTGCTCGGGCATTATGTGCTGGAAGCTGATTACTAAGCGGCTGTCTGCAGTCCTGGAATTCTTGGTGCCGTGCCCATTTTGGGGGGCTCCCGGTTGTCAGCGTGCAGTCGCTTACTGTCAGGAGCACAGAAGGCGAAATAAATTATTTGTTCCACAGTCCCGTAGTCCTTGTATTATAGGATTGGTGTTTACAGCTCATTCGGCAGCTTCTGGAAAATATTAGTAGTTATCTTCAGTACCTTATTGAGGAGATGCAAGAGCAGCGTACGAACCAAATTACTTCTTCCGTCAGTGTTCGTCTTTGTGCTGCGGAGATTATATGCTCCGGTGCTTTTAAGCTCTTATTCTTGGCTGATTCAGAATTGCTTTATCTTCCCCACACGGTGGTCGCATTAGGAAGATGAAGATAATTTGCCTAATAAGCAGAGATATGCACAAGTGTCAGGTCCTCGCACGCAGCCGCTTAATTCCTCCCTTCACTTAAACACTGAAACTAGGCAAGAACCACAGTTAACTATGCGGTTTAACTTCCATTATGTCTGAACCAGGAAATGACGACTTCCCATATCCCGGAGAAGTCAGAATAGGAAGCCACGGTTTAAAGATGGCTTCTTGGCCTTAGTTAGGTTGGAAGCTATTAACCATTGATTTCCCATCAGGAGGCAACGGGGAGCCAGTTACCTGCAGTTCCTGGCTTGCTCAGCATCTCATGGGAAGGGAGAAGGGAAGCCGCCGTGGTTAAGCTTGTGCTTGCTGTGGCTTCCTAGGCTGACTATTCCTATTGTCCATTGTCTGGAGAGGGAACAAATAAAAACAGTGTTTTGATCAACTTTTCTTATCACATTCTTTTAATTCCATTTATGTTTATGTGGCCTCAAAAGGATTTGACGGATTGCATAGCACACAGTGGGTCAAAGAACTCTCCTTCTGACATGAATAGTAAGGAAACAAAATTAAATCAGTTGTACGCATAGCAAGAGGTACACAAACAAACATTTTCCACTTTCCCATGGCCCATGGCGAGGTAAATTGCTATTATTTTGGGATGGAAAAATGTGATCGTGGCCTCTTCAGGGTCACACGCAGTGGAGTCCCACAAAGGTTAGGATTTGTATAGGATTGGGGCCAAAGGAAGTGCAGGACCATCACAGGGGCCATTTGCTTTGCTCACGTATCCTGTTCTTTCACGGCTAAGGAGGAGAATCACTTTTCCCCTGGGGGGGAGGCCCTTGACTATGTATTACTTGCCTAAGTTCGGATGTCAATGCTAATTTTCAGCAACTGAATTTTCTCATTGGAAGATCACAATTCTTTATCAGAGACATGCAATACAGGTGATTATTGCACAGTGGGGTCTTATTACTAATACTTTAATTACTACTATGTTGCTGATTTCTGATCTACATGAAAGGCTGCCTGGTTTTGCCTTCTATAGCACCCAACGGGGTCTGTACAACACTGTTTGGGTTCAGACATCTGCTGGGTTTGTTCCCTTTCAGACTCTTTCTGGGCAGGTGTGCAGCGATACACCTGTGATGTGCAACCATTTCTTTGTTGGGAACCAGGGAGGTGAACACGAAAATGGGATGCAGAGGAGGGTTCAGGGCCGTGACAGACTCTACCACAGGCAGCAGTCAATGTCTGAGTCACAGATTTCCATCCAGAGACAGTTCCCCGGCAAAGGTGCAGAAACCTTGATCCAAGTGACAGCTGTTCCTCCTTCAAAAAGATAACATGGTATCTACCTTGGTTTCTAAGCATTCTGAAATACAAGTGAAATACGCCAGTCTGGTAGTGACCTGCACCATAGAGGGCTTGTGTGGACAGCAGCCTTCAGACACCATGAGTGAGGGCTTTGTCAATACAGAGGAATTCAGGAGAAGGCTTGATGGGACGTCATGGTTTCTCATGACATGAACAGGCCATGTTAAGCCTTTACATTCACAACCCTTCCCTTCTCCTCCTCTGGCATGGACTAACCACAATTCCCCCATGATACCCAAATGTATGGAAATATGGCTCGTTTTAACTATGGTTAGAGAACAAGCCAGGATTAAACTGTATGTTGAGATCCTGGCTTATTCTCAAAGTGTTCTTGAAACAATCTGTAGTTCTTTGAACTCCAGAGGTTATGAAGAGCCGTGGCTCCCTTTAAAATGGATGTAGAATTTTAAAACATGTTTGCTATGTGCTTATGGGCTTTGAACTGTGTACTGTGTCTATGTCCTTTGGCTGATGCAGTTGCTAAATAAATCTAATGTAGGTCTGCAAGCAGGTCTGTTTAGGCTAACAACATCTTTTGAGGCACTGAAAGAAAATGAATGATTAGCAACCAGTCAATACTAAGTTGGTGCATTGGTGAGCTGTGTTCTGTGGTGGGAAGCCTGAATATTTCCCTTTTTGAACTCTGCCTCAGATTTTTAGATCCACTACTTCATATTTTTGGCATTAGAACTATTAAAATGCTCTCCCCTTTCTTCTGGGAAATGCGTGGTTTTATAAAAGGGTTGCTTTTAAATATGCTTGCAGACTTTTAGAGAATTAGAGACATTTAAAATACTGACAATAACTTTGATATAAAAATTGCTGTGGAATAAAAATGGGATATTTAAAAGATGGTTCTTCTTCCTCTGCTAATCATTTGGTGATTAAATATAAAGCATTTTAAAAGGCTGCTGCTTTAGAGACAGACAATTTTGCTGGCCCAGCTTTAAGCTGGAATTTCCCAGGGTATCCGTATTTGGGAACATCCCTCACTGTGAGTAAAATCCCTCACGCTCTCCCTGCAGTAAGCGAGAGAATACTGCAGTTACTTGCTTAGCATCACTAGCATGTGTGTATGTGTCAGCACATGAGACCGTGGGGTGGGTTACTATGTCTGTGGAGTGGGTTGTGGTACCTTCCGAGCCACCAGAAAGAAACAAACGCTGTATAACACTGTCAGTTCCTATACTTATACCAGATAATTATTCACATTTCTTGTCCATATCAAATGTTAATAAAGCAAACTTACATCTCCTGTGGGAAGTGAAGCCTTTTCTCTTGAGCCGAATGTCATGCACTCTTCTCTAAGAACTCAGAAATAATCCTTTCTTCTAGTCCTTCCTGGGATATTCGGAGGTGGCGGCGTCTGTTTCCTCTACGGCCAGGCTGAGAGGAGATGACCTGTGCACTTTCTGTCCGTACCTCCCCACTCTCTTTTGAGAAGGCAGTTCCAGAAGGGCTGACAAGCTGAGGAAGAGCTAAGGTAGCATTTTCTATTACTTCGTCAAGTTTTTCTTCCAGGAAATATAAGATAGAATAGATTAAAAGAGGCATGTGATGGGGTACTTCTCTTTCCATCTATCCTTACTCATCTCCAGGAATTTTATTGGAATAAATATTGCATAGATCTTTTCATCAAAAGGCATTACGCATCTCTTCTTCATAGCAATACAGCATTAGTGACAGGAGGCATCTGATATCTTGCTGACTGCACTCCCAGTCCATGGGAATTTTCATGGTATACTGAAGCTGTGTGCTGTAATGTACTGCATTTCGGGGGCGATTCATACACATTAGTATTATTTCCACAGAACATAAAAATTTAACTCAATAACAATAATAGCTGCCCAGGGAGGGTAATTTCTTTTATTTTTTCCCTAAATTAAGTGTTGCAAAATATTTAGGGAAATTGATTTTGAAGAAGGTTTTATCGCTACCGGTATTAATTCATTGTAAACTGTCCCGAAACGTCTAAGTATGGGACGGTACAGCGAAGGAAGGACGGATGGACGGACGGACGGATCTATATCCTGCTTTTTAGCTTTTCAAAGAACTCAAAGCAGCTCACACCATTCTCCTCCTGCTGCTCTCAGTCTTATCCCCACAACAACAACCCTGTGAGGCAGGTGGGGCTGAGAGCAGAGCCTAAAACCTGGATTGCCGAGTTCCAGCCCCACACTCCTCACCACCACACCAGACCAGTTCCCCGTACGCACCACTGTGGGCGATCGCGGTGATACGCAAGTCACGGGGGGACCTCGGGATGGGTGTGCAGGTCCCCATCCTGGGCACAGCACCCCTCAGTGTGCAGCCTAGCAGCTCTCCCCCGCAATCGGTATTTGCCAGTTGTCAGGCCGAGTGATCAGATGCCTTGGGAGCCCGGGGAGAGCGGCGCTGCACCTGCTCACGCCCCCCCCCCCTTTTGCAGGGAGCTCCTCTCTCTGAAGGGCCCCTAGCATTCTGCCAGGCAGAACCAGGATTCCTGGATCTTTCCCCGTCGAGCGCAATTTCCAGGCCCGCCAGGGAAACACGCCCCAAACCAGCATGTTCCTAAGACGGCGTCGCCTCCAGCACGATGGAGGGGGCACTGGGGAAAGCCCCGCTTTATGAGCCACGGTGGGTTGCCACGTTGCGAGAACCCCGTGAGTGGCAGCCCGGCAAGGGCTGGACCCTTCCCGTCACCCTGTCCCTCCGTTGGCTTTCACGTGTGCTCAAATACAAGCAGAACGTTTTTGTAAAAACTTCAGCAACATTCCATTCCACACACATTCTAATTGGCGTAATTGCTCTTGGGTAACTCAGCATCAGCGCTGAGTGTACACGGCTCACGAAAAATAATAATTACCATAGCAACACTACATGCCCCCTCCTGCAGCGTGCCTTGTCCTTCCATAGTTGCGGGAACGCAGCGCCCAAGCGCTCTGCGTAGCTTCGGCAATGATTCGCGCATCTCCTCCTCCCAGGCTGGAGGTGCTGTTAAAGCACATCCTGCCTGCTCCTTGACGTACATTCCCCTTCAGCTGCGGGGCTTCCCTTACCGTTTTCCTTTGCGGGTGGGGGAGAGGCTTGGAAGGAAGCCTCCATGAGAAATGGGGACCCTTCCCCACCGCCCCCACACAGACGGAGTCACTGAAATGTGCAGCCTGTGGCCGCTGTTTCACACTCACACTCACACAAGCACAGTCCCTCAGAAGGCTCTTGCATTAACCTGCATTGTGACGTCCGGTGCGTGGAGTTCACCGCTTCCCCACTCTTGCTCTGATGTGAACAGTAGCATGTGCTTCATCAGTTCTAGATACGTGTGGTGAGAAATCCTAAGTTAGGAAACAAGATTATGGCTGGAACATACTATGTAATTATAGTGAGTATTGATTAGCATTCACTAGAATTATAAATACTACTTCAAATGTCAGTGCTAAAATGCCAGTAAGACTAAAGAAAGTGGTACCAAAGGCCTTGTTTCCCTCTTTCGGCCATGTTTCAGGTCCTGCCTTGCAGCTGTTCGTCATTATTATTGTCTTTGTCGTCAAAATATTTGCAAAACATTCTGGCAGTGAGGAACATACAAACTGGCATTGCAGCTTCTCGGTTTATTTGGTCCAATATGGCCCAATTTTACCGGCAGTGACTCCGCAGGTCTCCAGCTGGAGGTGTTTCCCATCATCCACTTAACTGGAGATGCTGAGGAGTAAACCTGGGAACTTCCAGATACAGAATGGGTCTTGTAGTCCTTCACCACTCTATTGGTCTTCCACATTAGAACCCGTTTGCATAAGAAATAAAAGATGGACGTACAAGCATGGCAGAGGACCTGAAGGTCTGAGTGCGGTGGGGTTGGCGGAAGAGCCTCTGGCCTGAATTGACTAGTGTCCCACTGAGCTGGTTTAAAAGTGGATGACTAAGTGCGTAACGCCGTTTTCACGCTTCAGAGTTGCAAGTCCCTTACTAGGAGATTGGCTCCTTCTGAGCTGGAAAGAAGAGTGTTTGGGCTGGAGGCATTCTGAACTGGATTGCTTTTCCTGTCCAGCATTTAATGAACATATCAAGAAAAGCTGCCTTCACGTAGCATCAGCAGAAGGTAATTCTATGAATGCTGTGAAAGCTAAAGACAGCACTGCTAAGCATGTTTAGAAAGTGTTTTCTTTCCTGAGTCCTCTGCCTTAAAACTTTTGTCTTGCCATTTTCCATTTGGTGCAACGGACATGATATACACGACAAAAGGCCCTTTCTTGGCTGCTGGTTGCCCTGGTACACTCTCAGGGCAAATTCCTGCCTGGAGGGAGGGGGAGAGAGAAAGAGGGGGGGGGAGAGAGAGAGAGAGAGAGACTTGAAATGCAGATTTCCCAGCACTTCCAGAGAGATAATTGTCAAGGGAATACATGCCCAGCAGGAGGTTCAAGAAGGGTCATTAGAAGGGCAAAAATGGATTAGCTTTGATCTAGGGCAAGTGGAGAAAGCATTAGTGGCCTGCTTAAAACATCAGTAGATACCTGAAAATTCTAATGGCACATGAAATCTGTTGAGTTATTTTGAGATACTCTGTTTAATCTTAATAGGTCTAAATTACACAAGATTATTTCCCTTTTGTTGGTTGTATACATACAATATTCCATTGTATGATGAAAGCACACATAATCTTCATGGAGAGTATTAGTTCTTTTTACCTCTTCCTCCTTTCAACTAGATATAGCAAGCTAATTTTGACCGTATCTCACAACTTTAAAAGCCGTTCTTAAAGTTTTTGGATTCCCCCCCCCCTTCAAGCATAAACTGCTAGTGCAGGCACAGTGTTTATCTATTTTTCATTTCTAATGAGATGATGGGTACTTCCAGACAGAGAGTGCTCTTAGCACTACCAATCAGGAGACATCTTGCTGTTATTCTGTCTTCTCCTCAATGGATTTTTAATGGTAAGAAAATAGAAGCCGCAGCAGCAAAAATTAGAATGGTTGTAACTTAAGACTGGGACCTCCTGTAAAACTGCGCGACTCAGAAAGCATGATCCTGCGGGAAAGGGCTCGCCTGGAAGCCCCCCGCGCACACTGACGGGAGGGTCCTGCAGTCCGGCGGGTTTCCTCGAAGATGTTACACACTTTGCGGCACAGTGCGCAACGCTTTACGTCGGATCCCGTATGAATGCTGGAACAAGCATAGCCTGGCAAACCAGGCAGGGTCCCTCCGACTCCGCTCCTATTTAACGCAACACCCCCTTCCTCCTTTCAGGATTTCTATAGCTGGCAGTTGCTTATTTTCGGCCGTTGGGCTGAGTAGCAGCAATTAATCCTTTTAAAGAGAGGGAAACACACACATTAGCATTGGTGGAGGCAGCTGCCCTTCCTCCTCTTGCCTGGCCTTTGCTTTCAGTGTTTCCATAACGACAAGAAACAACACTGCAAGCTTGCCGGTGCTCCATCTCCCCCCATGAAGGAGTCTTTCTTGTCTCTCTCTCCTCTTTGTTTTTGTTTGGATCCTGAAAAGGCTTCAAACTGGAGCAGTGGAAGTGGAGCCCAGTGTTCTTCCCAGCGCCTATCCAGCAGGGCCCGTCCCTGCTCACGCCTGAAAGGGACCGATCCAGCGGGGAAGAGCGTGCTTCACAGAGCAGGGATGAGTCCCGAGGACACGGAAAGCCTCCGGGGAGAACGGGGAGCCGAGCTTCGTTCCAGGCCAGCCAGTTGAGCGGTCCCTCGGTGCCTCTGGAGAGGGGAGCTGTTGGCCCCCGCTGCCTCCCCTTCCCTTCGGGAACCTTCGGGGGCAGAGTCTGCCTTGTCCTCCGAGGCAGCTGTGACACTGTGCTGGGTTTCTTCGCCGGGTTTCTTCATGAGCTCTGGGCAGCCCTCGTGGCGGCACCCGTGGAAGGAGCACGGGAGGGGGCAGCTGCCCTCTAGGCATCCAAGGAGTAAAGCCCACCTGTAGCATCGCGACAGTCTCCTTGCTAGCCAGGTGCGAGGTCACCCAAGGCCCAGTGCCCAAGGAGCAAAGCACATCCACTGGGAACCTGGCCAGTTCCCAGAAGATCTGCCCACATAAGTAAGAGGGGCAAGTTCTTCTCCCCCATCAGAGGGTGAAAGTGTGCCTTAAACTGAGGCAGCGAAGTTAAATTTGAAGAGCTCGGGGTGCAGGGAGCCTCTCATCTCCACTCCCCACCCATCCCCCAGAAAGCCTCACACCTGGAATATTTTAATTATTAGCTAGGTCAGGTTATAATCAAGGACCAGGAGAAACGGATGGAACAGGTGCCTCGAGTCCTTGAGCCACAATTCCGGAATGCTCCCATCTCAGCCCTTTCCTCATTCTGTGATGAAGGGTGCCAGGCGTGTTGCGATACACCTGTCTGCCTGCATCCTGTCAATCAATATCATCAGGCTAAATGTGCAGTTCGTGATACATGGGGTGCATTCAGGTCTGAGGCTGAGTCGTTTCTAGTCGTTTTGGAGACGATCTGATGTTCAGCAGGAGCATCAAAGGCAAGAAGTTGCTTGTTCCTTTTGTGCCTAGATAAAAGACAACTTCCAAGCCCTTCATTAGGGTTTTTTTTTAATGTCCCTTTAGGTAACGGAGATGATAGGAACTTAACAAAGCTCTAGCAAGATTACAATACTGGTCACTATGGCAGAGAGTTTTTTTGGTATAAGTTAGTTGGAGAAACTTTCTTCATAGACAGTTGGGGGATTTTTTGGCTTTTAAGAAGGTCAGCATCCGAAACTCGCTGTGGTTGGTGTCTCTATCTTCCTCCACAGGGCAAGTTCAAGGCAAAATGATCCTACGTCCTTGGAAGAACCCAGCATTTCCTTGGATTTGGGTTCGTAGATTCTCAGAGTACTTGATCTGTACTCTAGGATACGTGAGCTTGCATAGGCCTCATACGGGCAGACTGGCTCAGCAGAAAGAAGGTGGATCAAGGCAAGGCGGCGTAACATCCGCCATGTTGTGTCTTGTAGCCAGAGAGGCAGGTGCCCGTGTTCCTCGCTCGCTCGTGAGGCCAAGTGAGAGCTGGAGGCAGGAGTTAGGGGTGGCTGCATTCTGAGTGGCCATGGGCCATGGCTGTAGATCGGTATGATCCTTGCCTGGCCCAAGAGGCCCTGCTTTTCGGACTCGGCAGGCCTTGGGGTGCGAGTCTCCAACCCAGCTGTATTTGGATCCGGCACAGAGGCAACTCTTCATCTGGAAGGGTTGTTAGAAGGAAGTGGCAGGAAGGATTCTGGCACCCTGCGAAGGCTCCAAAGGTGTTCCAAAGATGGCAAAGACGTTGCTGACGTGTCCAGTTTGCTTTGGGAAACAGGAACCAGTTTAGAAGGAAAGGTGGGCCAGGAGGTAAGAGGGCCTGAGATGGCAGCCTAAGCGTGCTCAGCGTGGGCTCCTTTAATGCAACTTGCAGCGGGTGTCCTCTGCGTGGAAGAGATCAAGAAGAGCCTGCCTTGTGCCAAGTCGTCTCCGAAGGGATTTTCAGTGAATAATATTACTAAATAAGCACTTCTCAGTCAATCAGAGCCCAACTATTAAAAGAGGAAGTATACGTCTGAGTATTTCCTCTTTTTTTGCCCTTGTGTTTCCACAACTATGAAGTATCTCTTGTTAAAGCCCTGATAATTTACCTGTCAAGTATTGGACTGGGGCCACAAAAGAATCCACTTTTGTTCTGTTCCTTTAAAGCGGTGGGATATGTTCATTGTAATCATGTGTACTTACAATCAACCCCAGAATTTAGGAAAAGAAGAAATAGGTGCTTGCTTTTTAAACTGTATCTTTTTCATCTCCTTGTGGAAATGGATCATTTTTAAGGCCAGTTCAGGTGACATGACGATTCTCTTTGCCTTGGTAGCGTTCAGGACAACCTGGAATGCATTTTGCTTCTTGTTCGGGTTAAGTCTGCATAACGCCTCTGGTACTCATTAAAACTGCTAACAAAACAGGAACTTTTGGACTCCCCATCCTTACCCAACCTTTTCTCTCTCCCTTCACCACACAACACTTTTGCTTCACACACAATCCAGAGTAGAGTCCTGTGGAACTTAGACCTCACTCCCTATTTTGTGAACTTGGAAGCCCCTTTATGATACTGGATTCCAACTCCCATCAGCCCCGGGCACCCTGGCAGTGGTCAGGGATAATAGGAACAGTAGTCCAGCAATATCTGGGGGGGGGGCGGTTCACAGGTTTCTTGGTGCTGGTCTAATCGGCTCTAATTAATTAGCACTGCACTGTGGCTTTTGGAATGTTGCTAAAGGATTGACATGAACAATCTTAAACATGTTGCCCCTCACCCTGGTCAGTAATCTGTGTTCTGGGGATAAACTGGGTAGAGAATTAATATGTCACAGTCCGTGTTACACAGAGGTTCTTTTCTTCCCTGCCCAAATGTATATTTACACGCTGCATCTATGGAAAGGAGTAGGTTTACACAAGACTTCCCCTTCCTAGCACCAAGGACAGCTCTGTTGGGAGAGCACCTTCTGTCCAGCTAATTATAATAGGATTTACTTAAGGGTGTGAGTCTAGGATTACACCTTCCCAGTCTCTAGACAAGCAAATCACTAAAGAATTCGGAAGGACAGGATTGTGTGTGTGTGGCTACTCCAAGTCAGACCTGATGCATTTCAGCCTGATGGGAGGTCCCCCCGGCCTCTGTGAAGGGCAACAACAGGTTCCACAGTAGATTGTGAAGTGGCTTAAGCGGAGCGAAAAGGTCGCAAATCTACTTGAGGCCATCGATATGATGATCAGCCCCCTTCCAAATACACTGCTTTGACAGGACTGAAGCCTTCTCTACAAAAGCGATGGGAAAGAAGAAGAAAAAAGTCAACTCGATATCGATTTGACACCCCTCCCGCTCTGTTTACAACATCGGGCCCGATAGAAAGATCTAGAAAACTTGAAAGCGTACGCCTTTTTAAGAGTGACCTTTAGAGTTGACCCAGTACAGGTGTTGCACTAATGTGGAGTTTGGATTTATTCTTATGACCCCCATGGGCATCTTTAGAAATGAGCAATAAGAAGAGCTGAGCTAGATCAGTCTAACTTTCTGTTCACGCAATGGCAAAGGCAAATGAGCTTCCCACAGGAGGCAAAGGCATGGAGGGCACCTCCCACCCATGTTCCCCGGCAACGGGTATCCATAGGCAGACTGCCTTAGCTTTTCTGAAAAAAAGGCTGAGCCTCATGGACCGAATTCAAAGGGGTAAATTAATCCAACGTGGAGAACAATTGTCTGCTAGGACATGCAGAGCTTCTCCCAGAGAGGGATTTTTGTGTGGTTAAACCTGCTTTGCATCGCTCTCCACGATGAAAATACTAAGTGCCCCCTGGCCCCGGTAGCCAAGGGGCTATTTTAGTCTCGGCTCTTGCGGAGCCTTTACAGAGACTCCGCAAGGAGGGAGCAGAGGCAGTGTCGTGAACTGGAGAACTGTCTTCCGGCAAAAGGACAGCACATACGCGATTCAAACGGTCCTCTGCCGCATCACGTGTGCGCAGCAAGCCTGCCGTGGCCACCAATGTGCCTACTTTAATTTTGAGAAATGAGATGTGAGCCACTTCGGCCAACCTGAGCAGTGAAACTGAAGCGCACAAATCCAGCTGTTGCATTTAAAAATAGCTGGCGCTGTCCTTGGCAGTAAACGGCTCCTTTCATGTTGTTATAGCAACTGGGGGGGTGGGACTCAGCAGCACTTCAAGATAAGGAATGTCGCCTGCTCTTCGCCGAAAGGGGCACCTGCTCTTTATATAGCTTCTGGGTGGCTTCCTAGGGTCAAAGGCCGAACCCGGCCGGGGCCAAGTCTTGCTCCTGTTTAGCCCTGTTTTATTGGCCACCCATTTCTGCAGACTCGAGGAGGGCTTGTAAGTTTGCAGTAACTTAAAGGCAGGTGGTCCCATCCGTTCGTTGCGATAGAACATTCACTTTTATTCTGACTCTCGGGATACTGGATTTGACTATCCCGATCTAAGGTTTAATTCTGCTGTGGTTACTTGCTGTGCAGTAGCCGGTGTCCAGCTTGCTCTGTGCTGACGAGGCAGGGTGTGGGTTGCTCTGTTTTGTTTTGAAATCCACCTTCAGCCCTTTCCAACTTGGGCCATTCGCCCAAACAGGCACTGTCAGACCTACCTCTTAAACCCCCACCACTCATTTTGTGGAAATAGCGTCACTTTTGCCGGACATCCTTGGTAAGTCATCGGAAATGGGAGGAACATTCAACCCCATTTTTCTTTTTCTGGACAGAAAACACAACTGCTCACGGTGCGCTTTTCTGCCATTCTGTCATCATACGGTACCTCCTGTTCAGGCACTTCTACTTGGTATGCATTGGCAGTAGAAAGCTGAAACGGCCAGACGTCTGGCCTCGGAAGCACTGTGCAACTGTTCCTGTGCGATGATTATCACACTTTTACCAAGCTTAGCAACTAGCACAGATGGAGATGAGAACAGCACAGGAACCAAAAAGCGGAATACGACGGGCACCGGGAGGTGTGGAGGGTGGAATCCGAAGGGGGAAGGGCGCTTTGTGCAAGCAAACCTTTCTGAGCGGGATGCTGAGCCAGACTGCATGTGCTCTGAATAACTCTCCTGCGTACAATTGCAATGGGAAGGTGAATCATTTTTGTAGGAATGAGCTGTCTGGCAAACCTGTGAGTGAATGCTTGGTGCAAAGTCTGAGTGAGGTGCACGGCACCAAAATAACTGGTAAGAGGCATCCGTGGGAAGATCAAGAACCTTGTGGGCAGCAAATTGCAGAAGGATCTGCTGGAAGCCTGTTTGAAGAAATCCGAATTGCTTGAAAGCAATTTCACTGAAGAGCAGAGAGTGAAACGCATTCTCAAAACTATGCAAGGCTTAGATTAGAACAGATGGGTGGAAATGACCAACGTAGCCATGACGCGAGGCCACTAGTGACCAGCACTGCTATGGAATACAGAATTTGTCCCATAAACATTTACCTTAGAATTGATGTCTTAACTTGTATAGTAGAGAATCCTCTGGGAGGTGAAGAGAAACAGCAGCACAGTCGTTGCAATGATTGCCTTCTTGACGCAGGACTTTTCTCAAAAAGAATTAGAAAATGCCCTCATTTTCTGCAGGGTAGACTTCTGGGGCCGATTTCCCTAGTGTAGGCAGATATTTAAAGGCCCTTACGCAGGTGGTCGCTGAATTGAATAAAAACCTTGCCTTCTCCATGGTCTCTTCACAGCTAGTAGTAATTAGAAATGAAAGGCAAAGTTAATTATTGCATCTTTCAAGCAAAGCCTTTGTTTTATTTTGTTCTCTGTACAGTGAATGTGGGTGAACAGCAAGGTCCCTGCTCAGAATCCCTTTTAATTATATGCAGAGTTGGTAGGTTCTATGCAAGCATCTAAACCTCCAAATACAACAGTCGGGTTATTTTAAACATACTTCCTTGACTTACAAGCCGAACAAATCTGACATTACCCATAACCAAATGCAAAAAGAAGAACGTAGCACCAGCTACCATCGTGGGTCAGAAAAACCACCCTGGAGGGGGCGGAAGAGGGGTTTTCAGGCAGAGGGGCAAAAGCGTGAGAGGGCAAGACATGCGCTTTCCTGGTGCCTCTCCAGTGTCCCGCAGCCAGACGGGTGGAAAAGGCCACCTAGCGAAACGTGCAGAGGGGGCAGCCCGCGAGGTCACAACCGTTGCAGCCTCAGTGAGTGTGGGGACGTACGGTCATTGCCGTGGGTCCGTGTCCCAAGTCAGGTTATTTGTGACCAGCACCAGCCCCCTTTTCAGAGTTCTTTCTCCAGCGAGGCTTGCGAGGCACTTCCTACTGGATGTGTCAGTTCAGAGAATTGGCCAAGAATGAACTTAATGCCACACGGTATGCGTGGCTTTCGTCTTCAGTGCACTGCGTACGGCAGCGTTACCTCCGCAAAATCAATAGCGCGTCTCGGAGGTATCTTTGGGAACCAAACAGGTCACCTTGGGGACCACTTGAAAACAAGAACCACCACACCTTCCAGTTGAAGTTGGTGGGTTCGTTTGATAGAACACCACGGAGAGTTCCTACTAGCCTGTGTTAAATTTTCTAATATGGGCCCTGAAGCAACTCTGCTCGCCCAAACCGGCTTGCAGCTGGCTGGGAACAGTTGGGGCCTGCACTACAGTTGGGCAGTTTAGTCCTTCGCTCCGTAGTGACTGCATCGGGGCCGGGGTGCCTTCCAGATGGTTTGGGCTACGGCTCCCACAGACGTGGCCCTTCTTGCTGGCTCGAGAGTTGTCTTTTGGTCAGCTGGCCCATGAGGCACTCCTGTGCCCTCTTCCCTGAGAGTAAGCACCACTGGACCTAGCGGGGCTTCCTTCTGGGTTGACATGGATAGGGAGGCTCGGAGCTAATATACAGTGCAGGTATCACGTCTCACGGTCGTGGCTTGGGCACGAGCCCTTGACGAGAAGCTAACGTCCCACTCTGTTGTAATGGAGTTGTCCCTGTCTCTGTACAGTTCTAACAGTTTGTGTCTTGACAAGTCTCCCTGTTTTCACTAGATTATGATGGCAGAGGAAATACATGGCTTCTTTAATAGATTTCCCCCCACTTAATACAAAGGTAAGGTAACAGTAAAGGTTTCCCTTGCACATGTGTCCGACTCCAGGGGCGGTGCTCATCTCTTACGAGCCAAAGAGCTGGCTTTATCCAAGGACACTTCCGTGGCCATGTGGCCGGCATGACTAAACACCGAAGTGCACAGAACGCTGTTACCTGCCCACCGAAGTGGCACCTTTTTATCTACTTGCATTTGCATGCTTTTGAGCTGCAAGGTTGGCAGGAGCTGGGACGGAGCAACGGGAGCTCACTCTGTTATGTGGCACTAGGGATTCAGACTGCCGACCTTTCGATCGACAAGCTCAGCGTCTTACCTGCTGAGCCACTGCGCCCTTTTAATAAAGAGAAACTCCACTTATTTTACTAATGCAAATAAAATACCACTTAAAGTACGCAGAATTAATAAAATTGAGGTGATGAAGTACCCAAAGTACTCCCAGGATTTAATGCTCTTATTTGCGTGTCCTTCCTCTGTGTTCATATTCTCTCCACCTCCCCACATTCCAGTTTTGCGCTGAGTTCCATGACCTTCTCAACAATAGATACATGCGGAAAACTTTTGTGGGAGGGGGTCTTCCACAAGTTTCTTCTCTGACTAAATTTATAGCATTGAGGCCTGTCGGAGAAAGCAGAGATTACCTGGTCCTCCAGTCTTTGTCTCAAGTAGTTCTTTCCTTTCATGTTCACAACATTCCTGCCAACGAAGGCAGCCTTTTCCAGCAGGGTATCCAGGAAAGAATCCTGCAAGATCAGTACAGAATTAGCACCGCCATATTTCGGTAGTGACCGGACGAACCAGCAGTACCAGTGCCAGGTTTTCGAGGGCCTTTGGGCGAGGCAGTCTCGCTCCAGTTGATTTGTCTCCATTCCCTGTCGCCCAAGAGCTGAAGTGAACCGGCCAGTTTGCAACAGGCAGCAGCCCCCCCCGCCCCCCACTGTGACTGCCACCGTCACCAGCTGCCACTGCTTTTCACCTATCGCGCCTCGCCTTTTCTTAGCCTTGCTGCCACTTGGGCGACCCGCAGAGAGCCACCATCCCTGCCGCGGGCCCGACGGAAAGGCAGTGGAACAAGCAGCTGGCGGAGGAGGGACGGACACAGGGAGCCCTGGCTGCCGGGGCCCTGCTGGTCTGTGGGCACTTGGCAAGCGCCCACCGTGCCCGTGTCTGATACCAGCCCTGCTGAGCAGCACTGGACAGATGCATAAAGGAGGGGACACCGCTGAGGAGGCCAGAGAGCATTATCTGCCCCTTTGTCTGGGGACCGCTCCTTGCATGAGAACTAATTAAAGGAAGCAACATGCCTAAGGGACAGTATTACCTAATGGGGCAAGCAGGTATTTAGCAAGGACATTCCTAGCTCGCCTCGCAGGGACGCCCAAAGTTTCAAACACGTTATAAACACACCCTGCCTGCGTGGTTCAAAGTATTTTGTAACTGATATGGGTCGTGCGGTGCTGGTTGTACTAAGCTGCTATCGGAAAACATTTCTTTACTCCCAGGTGTGAATTGCGCGTATGACAGCCAAAGAGGCGAAGAGGGGTGATGGGCTTTGTCCCACGTAGGCACCAGCCTCCGCAATGACGTGGCCGCTGCCTTCTCACCAGACAGCAAAGAATTTTTGAAAGCTTTACTTCACTGGTCGCTTATGTTCATCTGCACTTCAAACATGCCGTTTACTTCCTCATTCCGGAAGAGTATTTTGCCCGCTCTCCCAAACTTACTCTCTCTACCAGAGGCATCTGTGGAAAAAGGTCTCTTCTGTTCTTATGGCTTTGAATAAGAAATTGTTCTGTAACAGAACTCACATTTTATCCCTCGTTCTCTGTTGTTAGATGAAAGTCTCATCCTGTGCATTCGAGAGGTACGAGCGTGTAGCCGAAATGCACCCCGTGGGCCGTTTCTTCCCCATCTGTCCAGTGCCTGCCTGCATTATTTATTCTGCACACAACCACCTTCTTCCGAGTTTGAGTCCGCGATTGTCTGCTAAGACTCAGCCGCTGTAAGATGTATGGGATGACTGCAGATTTCTCTTTTTAAAAACATGTAAAAAACAAGGAATGAATGATGCAGTGGCTGGAAGCCATTAGAGGTTTAGCCCTGCTGGAACGGAGGTCTGAAGGATATAATGCACTCCTTGGAGTCTCCTAAATTAAGCTTACATCTTTTCATGATGTAATGAATGGCTGGTGACTCATTCCTGCGTGGCCACAAATCCTGATGAAAAATAGAAAAGTTCTGCACAGTCCCTTGCTAAATATAATAAAATGCCTATCCAGACTTCTCCGTCACAGTTGTCCTTTTGGGCAAAGAAATAATCAGCACACTGCAAATGTGGCTGTGGAGAAGGCCAAGAAGAAGATGACTGCAAGAAATTATTGCTGGAGAGCTGCCAGTGGGTCGAATAGGCATTGCCGTTCCTTCTTTCTTTCCAGAGCTTCCGGAGCTCCGACGGTTATCACAAAAACCGGTGCTTTCATCTGCCTGTGCTCCAGCAAACCATAATGAACTGCTGGCATGGCCTGATCGTTTAAGCCTTAGCCCAACATAGTTGGGTGGGTTGTGCTTAACAAGAAACAGGTTTCATAACTGTCTTTGGCACTAATAAAATATAATACTGAAATGAGTCATTCTGAGAGAAATCTGGTACGGACTGATTATGCAACCGAAGACCTGATAAGAAGGAACAGATTGAGCATCAGAAAACACAAAACAGCTTTGCATGAAAGGGTGACATTTTGTCGTAGGCCTATTATTTGATTTATAGCAAACCCCTTCCAATGTTAGCTGTTTGTTTTAATTTCCCCTTAACCTCCAAAGAATTTGCTGCTGCCTCTGCATTTCCTCTTGCTTGACCTTGCTGCAAGTTTATTAATTTAACTTGGAGTACTTTTTTAAAGCTTGTTTTCAAGTAGAGAAACAGCAATTGAATCTGTGTGTTCTCATTATAGATAATGTAGCAGCCCCAGTTGCGCTGCTCAGGCGTAACTCCCTTTGACATCATCAAGTCGCTCGTGCTGGTAGAGGGAAACACTAGTGCGAACGAGGACGGAATGGTAATCATGCAAGATATTTAATTCTGAACACGTCCCTTCGACAGGCTCAGGTGAACACCCGCGTTGATTTTCAAATGATCCTTCTGCAGGATTAGGATGCTGCTTTGGGTTACCTGAGTTTACCTTTCCGAATTTCTCACCAGCCCTCCTTTCCAGTCTCTGGCGCAATCGGCTTCTTTGTCGGCCCGGCTTCGGTATGCTGGCCCAGTGCCCACATGCCTGGAACAGTTGCTTTTCTATCCCACCTCGGACTCTAAGCTATTCTTAGTTGAGAGCAGCACCTGACATTTACTGATGGTGTCAGACGCAGAATCCTACATCACACCGCGGTGTGAGCATTGGGGAAGAGAGAAGGAAAGCATCAAAAGCCTTTGGAACTAAAATGAAATTCAAACATCTGTTGTTATATAGCAGTGTTCCAATCAAAAAAAAAAACCCTGTGAGGAAGAAGATTAGCAAAGAATGGATATAAAACATGCACTTACCTTTCACGAGTATTTCGGTGTCTGGTGCACGGAACAGAAGGCGACAGAGACAGTGTTGGAAGCTCTGCTTCGCCACGAAGCTCAGTGGGTCGTTTTGGGCCAGGTGCGCCCTTGCAATTCTCACACCGTGCTTGCGGGGGTGAAGTGACATGACCAACAGGTATGAACTCGTTAGAAAAAGGACAAGACTTAGACAGATCATAGGATCATTTCTGAGGCAATGTGATCATACTGACATACCATTTTTTCAGTGATAATTATTTACTGTGCCAGAGGTCTGTATCTTCATAGAACAGTGATACACCTGCACCCCCGCCCCCAAATCCCCCAAAACCTTTGCCTAGAAACAAGTCTGTAAATTAGGAAGTATTCCACTCTCCCCAACACACTTGGTACATTCACATCTACCATTTCATAATGTGCATCTTTTTTAAAAATTGAGGAACTACTAGATGATTGCCATATCTTACATGAGATATGATACAGGATAAATACTGGATCATCAACGTTAAAATGAAATGTGGAAAAAAATTAAGACATACCAGTTCCGAAGTCTTTACAGTATCTCCTTGTTTCAGTGCACAAAAATGCTACACAATGCTTTTTTTTGTATTTAATGTCACTTTGGAAACAACAGATGCTGAATACTGAAGATTTCATGGGGATGTTATCGTTTTTCTCCTTTTTTAGTGCTATCAAAAACTAAGATTGATAATATATCCTTTGCTAGCAATTTGCCGATTATATTTCCTCTTCTCTCCTTCTTGCAGTTTTGGAGTCGTTTATTGACTTCTGATGTCTGGAAGCTAATAAGCACCATGTTGTGTTCAACCAGCTTAGAATCACAGAATAAAAGCTTGTGCCTTTACTCCCCTCAGTTCTGAAACTTACTTCTTAAATGCAGGATGATTTGAAGAAGTGGGGAAGGGAGAAATGTTCGCTCGCTAGTATTTTATTAGAAAAAGGGGAAAACCCCAAAACAGGGAACAGCAGCATTACACTGTTGGAACAGAGGCTTTTTCTACATGGTACCATTGTGCCCTTTGCTCTGGTTGTCGTCATTTACACAACACTAAACAGGGCCGGGGGGCCCACATTCAGTGGCACATCGGCCCGCCAGTGGGATGGTGGCAGAGCAAAGGCCAAGTCTGGCCTTTCCATAATGGGCATCGCCCACGCATCCACGAGGCTCCAGTAGAGCCGTTCTCCTTCACCCTGTCTCCTCTGGCCTTGCGTCCGGACCTTTTGCAGCTGTTGGAGCTCCCAGTAGCTTTCAGGACGGGAGCGTCTTGGCTTGGGAACAGGTGGAGATGCCATCTTGAAAGGGCAGCTGACTTGGAAGGGGAGGATGGGAAAGCAAACCCTGGTTCAAAAGATGCTAATCGTGATGCTAATCGCACCTGTAGAAACAGATACCTAATCCACGGGGCGCAACCAGGAAGCCCTTCTGTTTCCCTCCCTGAAAAGAACAGGGGCTGCAGAGGCCTTTGCTCCATGTTAGGAAATGGGAAGAGGAACGATTTGCACTTTCCACACGGAGCATGAAAATGACCCCATATTAAGATACCTCAGGCCAGATCTGGACGTGCAGATTAGTCTGCCAATAAAGCGTCGCTGCTGTTTTGTAGCCCGTCCGAGTGGCTCGCTGTTCCCCCCATGGCTTTATGGGGGGCGGGGGGAGCGCATGCTGCAGGGCACTGCTCATTCAGAATCCATCCGTGTGACACTGTGCGCCAAAGAGCCGTCTGTGGAGGCGATGCTGCGGGCGAGTGGATGGTTCTGAGGGCCTGGGAGGCGGCGGCAGTGCGCAGAGAAACAAAGCCTGATGTTTTGTCTCCCGTTTTGTGCTTCGTCATTCACTGGCTGACGTCTTTTTAATAGCTGAGCCCTCTGACTGCATACCGTCAGAATGCAGATCATGGTGACTGCAGAGAGAATATTTCTTGTTTGTAGCAGGGGCCCGAGACATGGTTGCTTGGCATTTTGCTAACCTTTTGCACAGGGAATCCCAGTTTTTCCAAGCTTACCAGGCCGTAGGCTGGGCTTTCAAAAGCTAAGACTGGCCGAGCAGTTCAAGTGAAAATGGAGAATTAGGTGGCAGTAAGCCGCCTGCTTCGGCTGAGGATCTGTTGGCTGCTGACTCTGAGCACAGCCCTCCCAGATACTAGCCTGGCCCTTCACCTGCTTAGCTTCAGAAGTGGGGCAGGATCACTCTGAAGTGCCAGCGGCTTGTTTGTAGCCGTGTGCTGGACGGCCCACCCGGGATTCCTGAGACGGCAGAGCCTGAGCATTTTTGTATCCTCCATTGTTCACTTAGTGCCATATTATAGCTCCTTCCCTCCCCCCACCCCTCTCTCTCCTTTAATTTACTTTTTAAAGTTATTCTTCATTGTTTATTTTTCTTGGTTGGCTATTATTGATTTTACTGTTACTACTGGTTTCATTGTAATTGCTGATTGTATTGTATTGTGGTGCTGGTTATATGTAAGCTGCCCAGACAGCGTGTGGGCGGCATCTAAATCTAATAAATAAAGAAGAAAAAGGGGGAGAAAAATAGGAGAGGCTGAATGGATGAAGGGAGTGTGATGCTAGCGGGCAGCCTGCAAACAAATCTAATAAATAAAACAATCAATAAATAAATAAAATTAGAGGGGAACATTGACTGCAGAATCTTGTTACACAACAGTAGTGGGAAAGCAGCAACATTTTTAAAACAGTTGCCAGATTTCTTCAACCTTTGCTGGTGATCGGAATATAATTTGGGTCCTCTTTCAAGCCACGTATGTAAATCCGCTGGATGCACGTGGCTACATTTGCCATCTTTCCATTTACGTCTCTTCAGGGAATCCTTCAAGGTGAGATTTTTGGAGCTGTGTCACTTAAATCACAAACTCTGGAGAAGCTGGTCGATGGAGGGGGCTGGCATCATGCCTCCCCAAAGAGCTCACTCTTTGATGTGCTTATTACCTTCCCCCCCGTCATTCTTCTGTCCTGTAAATAATTCAGTTTCTTTAGCTTAACTGCAACTGGCAACTGCTTGTTATTAAGAATGACGGAAAGCATCACGAGGCTCAGCAGAAGAGAGTACATCGGGGATTCAGGTGTGAAAGGGAGCACTTAGAATGTTTGATCATATTTGCGCTCCTTTCTCAAAAACTTTTCTGCCGCGGTGTCCACCAGCCCTGAAAGTGACGCGTGTGGAATCGCGACGGTCTGTCTCTGGGCTGGGCCTTCCTGCCACCCACGCCCAGGTGGTGCCTGTGTCCACGTCTCTGGGACCTTCCCGTGTCTGCACCATGTAAGATGGAAGTGGGAAGTCGGTCATCTGGGGAGGGGGCAGGCAGACCCCCCTTCCTTGGAGGGCTGCATGCAGAACTTGGGGGAGCTCTGTGTGATGGCTCGAACCCTGTAGTACCTAGAGGCAAACCATGTGTGACCCTCTGGCTGTGGTGGGACTGCAGCTCCCATCATCCTTTGCCGTTCCTCATGCCAGTGGACTACGAGGCCCTGTAGTCCAACACGCTGAGAAACTCACCCTAGTCCTTTCTAGGCAGTGCAGGTCTTATTTGTGTATATTTATACCCTGCCATTTTCTCCGTTCAAGGATCTCTTGCGCTTCTATTCCAGAGCAGTTTCAGCCCCAAGTGGACTTTTAAAATACAGTGAAAAGACCCTGATCCGTCGACCAGCCTTTGTATACATTCTTCACTCCTGTGCCGTTTAGATCTATTTTGCAATAATCGCTACCTACCAGATGGCAAGCTCAAAGCATGCCCACACAGAGAGGAATGGGAAACGATTCCTGGCCACCCCTCTGCCATTTTCTTAGGATTTGCATCTTTGCAATCCTACTGGCACAGCAATGCTTGTGATTATGCCCCCAGGGAGATCCAGAGCTGAGTAGCAAAGGCCGCTCTTCTCACGCAGCAGGACCTCTCTTTCTGCATCACAAGGAATTCCTCACACATCACGCCTTTGTCACGGGAGGGTTTTGCCCAGTCTGCTAAGCTGTCAAGATCTGCGTTCGTTTCCTGCAGCTTTCCCCCCACAGCCTCATGTGCTAAATATAGTATGTCCTGGGTTTTGACAGCATGTTCCAACAACTAGAGAGCAAGAGCGTATATGCCTGGTACTCTAAGGACTTGTCTGCTGTTCCCACATGCTGCCAAGCCGTCTCTGACTTGTGGCAGCCTTACGAACGGGTGGCCCACCCGGGATGCCTGTCCTGCTCAGCTCTGGCTGCCTGGATGGCATCCGTCCGTTGCGCAGTCGTCCCTTCGCACGCCCACTCCTTTCAGGAGCATCTGTAGCTTGTGATGCCCACAGCCCCAGGCTTTGCTGTACTCTAGAAGTCATGGGAGGGTCTTCCGAAATTCTTTGCTGTACCCCGGTAGCCGCTGTATCTTTGCAATATGAACTGGAAGGCCGCCTCCTTTTCGGAGTGGGGCTTAGAACGCCAGGCATTTCTTGCCCCACGGAGGGCACTTTTTGTTGTTGGAAGAATCCCTTTGGGTTGCTCTTTGCGGAGTGATGGTAAGACTCCCCGTGGCTAGTCGAATGGCAGGAGGCACCGTAGGGACCGTTCCTGCTGAGCTCCCTGGGGGAGGATGTTCTGGTGCAAGCCGTCGAGCTGGATGAAACTGAGACGCCCCCTCCGGCTTGGGAAGAACCCCGCAGCACCCACGCAGTCCTTTTGGTTGAGGGTCAAGCCTGAGAATCCACTCTGGGTGGGGACTTGGCTGGTTCGGCCACAAGTCTGGTTGACTGGGAAAGTCAGGAAGGGGGTATATATTTGGGGGCAAGGGGGATGCACACACACGGCACTCCATAATCAGCCTTGGCCACCCAGGGCTTCTGAAAACGTTGCTTGGGTCTTGCCTGGAAAAATGTGGAGCAGCTGTCGAGGGTTGATTGAGTAGCAGCTGCTCAAGGTCAGAACTAAGAAGACTGGATTGCGAGGGCCCGGCGTCACACTTGGGCACCCGAGCAGCCAAGAGCCTACGACTTTCTCCGGCCTTGGGTCTACCCCGGTATCGCTCTTCCGTTGTTTGTAAAATGAAACAAGGCGATAAGGGGGTTGCAACATAAACACAATACCTGCAACACACGTGGTGTTCGTCATAAGACCTTCTGCTCCTGCAGATTGCCGGAATGTGTCTTCCGGTAAGCATGAGCTGCAGCATTGAAGCAACACGCAGAACCTCCTTTACGTAACTGACACAATTTGCACAAAAATGTAGTAAATCTAAGTGGGGGAAGAATTCAACACATCCCCTTGAACAGGAACGTTTCCGTCCGGTAGCTTTGTTGTACCCAACTTTGTGTAGTGAACACAAAGCAGCAGTAGCAGAAATAAACACCGTTTTTTCTGGGGTGAGTGTACCTCCGGCAACTCATTGTTGTGCAGTTTTTCCGTATCTTTCATCACTTTGACTCATACAGTGCCGCATTCCATGAAGTTCAATCTGCACCTTGTAAAGAAGCCGTTCCTTTTATTTTAATGAATTCTTGATGTGTAAATGATAACATTTGCCTTCAGGGATGCAGCAGGCTGAAAATCCCAATAAATCAAGAGGATACTGTTTATATGCCATGTTCTTCAACAGTCATAGACTTCACTGGTGCCCCTTTATCTCTGAATATAATAAAAGCAACATTAGCAATAATATGGTTAGCTATAATAAAAGCTTTCTTCTGCTTCAGCATATTTCAGATTATTTATGCAAATCTTATGGGAACACAGAGGAGTTTAATAAACTGGATCCTTGCTGAAGGATTACATTCAACAACCACGCAAGAGTGATGGGGGAAATGAGAATCTCATTAAATACAGTACCATAGAATCTTAAGATGAATTCCCACGGTTTCCAAACTGGT